TCTGGCACTGCTCCTTGGCAAAGTCAGCCCCAGGACCATCATGTTGCTAGGCACACTGCAACCAAGCTGGAGATCTGTTAAAGGGATATTCCCACCACGAGCAGCAGCTTGGATTTAGAGATACAGATTCTCAGCATTCAAACAGTAGCATTAAATAAAAAATCCAAATATTTATTTGCTTGGCTACAACCGTAATACAGAAAGCTAAAATAGCTTCATGTTGAGAACCAACTGTGAGACAGTATAAAATCTGATGCATTTCCCATCAACTCCAATATCCTGTTGCAAAAACTTTTTCTTTTTTTTTTAATAGTTAAATTTAAATGGTCATACATAAAATGGTTAATGTACCAGCTATTAATGACATTGATACACTTTTGTCAATAGCCAATATTTAATACTGACTGGTAAGTTATTGTAAAAAAAAAAAGACATTATTTGTTTTGCTGGGTGTGAAAACCAAGCATGCTCAAAGATACTCAGTTGTCAAACACTAATGAATTAAAAATATTCACAAAAACAAGATAAGTGCTGTTTTTCAAAGGTCGTCATAAACTGGTTCAATAAAGCAAAGCACTCCAGAGAAGAAGCACACAGATTCTGCACAAAAATAAACCTAGCATGATACCTCATGGTTTACCAAGTACAATTACAAAATGGATTCTTAAGCAGAAACAGGGGAAAAAAATATGAAACTATAAGACTGTACGCAAACTTTTAAAAGACAGCATTGTGCTTTTCATTACAAGAGTATGCTCTCACTTTAAAGAACGGTATTTCAAGGGTAAATTAATTAAGCTGTTCCAGAAAATAAAGGAAGCACATAGAATCTGGTGAAGAAAGAATTACTTTTCTGGTAGCATTTTTCTGCCATTACAGACATTTTTTTGACTTTCCCTTAGGCTGGAGACATGAGATTCCAAAAACAGTAACGCAACTGACCTTCATGTAGCCTCCTTTACACTACAAGTGTAATACTCAAAAGAACACGACACAACGTAATCTACTTGCACAAAGGAGCATCAAACCCAAAACATTCTATGATTTTATATATATATCACAGAATCAGAGATTGGACAGGGTTGGAAGGGACCTCTGGAGATCATCTACTCTGAAACCCCTGCTAGAGCAAGATACCCTAGAGCAGATTACACAGGAACACATCCAGGCAGGTTTTTAATGTCTCCAGGGCCAGAAACTCCACAACCTCCCTATACAGCTTGTTCCAGTGCTCTGTTCCCTTCAGAGTCAAGTAGTGTGGTTTTTTAATTTATTTATATTATTTGCTTTCCTATTAGGTGTATCTCTTCACTTTAGTATTTCACATACATTGTCTGCTCATGGCTTTTCCTTTTTTAAAGGAATCTGAAATTTTAGGGAAGTGTCTTCATGTACAGATACATTGAGGGAGTTATTATTAACTACATGATCAATGATTATTTTTTTTCTTGTGATTTCTTTGGTCTGTGTCTGGTCACCTACTTACTAGGTATTTCATAAGTCATAAAGATCTTTAGGCACATTAAAGTGGGACATGTACTTCTGGTGCCAACTTTAAAAGTCTCATTCTTTAATCAGATTTTAATACAAAAGCATGGGATATTATATAATGACAGAATGAAAATCAAAAGTGACAGATTGGGTGACTGGAATTCCTACTGGACTTTTTTATTCATCAAAACGTTCAGGCTTCTAATTTTGGAAGATAATTTAGCACCAGCTGGAATCCTCAGACAGCATTAGTAAAACAATAACAAACCTCCCTCAAATAAAATTTTAAATCACGAGTTTAGAAAACACTTTCAAAAAATGAAACACATTTACTACATTTAAAAATTCATGTGACCGACCACCAGGTCAAATTCTGTCATCTGGGAATAAGCAAGAAGAAATGCAGTATTTGACTGCACTGAGGATGTTTAATTTGACAGATTTGAGACCAGAAGACAGGCTGAAGTATGACTTTGCAGCAACTGCAACTCAGGGTCTGGACAGCAAACTGGCTTTACCTTGTTGGTGAAAGAATGCTAAGATTTAAGAAACAAACCCCCCAAACAAGGACGAAGAACCTAGGAACCTACAATTGGTTTGCAGGATATTGGATTTCTATAAGATTCTCTCCCTCCAAGGATAGCCTGAGAAAAAAGGAAATACTGAGTCCCACCTGAGAACTCCACAAGCTCAATACGATGGTAGAGAGAAAAGTATTGCTAACTCTGTCCTTAAGGGCAAGAAGCCGGTGGGCTGGCGAGTAAACCTTGTGCCACAGCCCCCGAAGTGAAACTCCCTTTTTGACCTTCCCTTTGCAGGCAACAAAGCTTCAAGTTGCTGCACATCACCTCCGTTTACTGAGGTTATACAAGCAGGGTTCAACTAAGGCACTGCCGATACAAATGAGTTAGCTTGTGTATTTCTACATGTTTGTAGTCACAGTACCGCGCTAACCAAGCATCTACTGCCTCCAGGCTGTGTTTAATAAAAGGTTAATTCAACTCCAAGCATCTTCTAGAATTTTTCTTGAATTTCAGGAGGTGCCACAGAAACTTGTTACTAGCAAAGCCAACAAGAACCAGAACCAGTAAGCAGCCAGCTCTGAAGCACAGATATAAAACTGCTTTTATTGGTATGAAACCAGTCTCATGAGTTGTGAGAAATCAGGTATTTCATTGTTCTAACTCTTGCATGCTGAGAACCTATTAAGCAGGAAACAATGACTAAATAATGACAAAATTAAATCCAAGTCGTGTTTGTAAGAAGAGATGGAGTTACATAACCTTACAGAGCAGCCTTCAGCCATAAAGAGCCTTCTGAAACAAAGTTAACTTTTCAAAAGAAGGCAGCAGACACACTCCTGTAGACATGAAGCATTAGGAGATACATGCAAAGAACAGTCCTAATTTTTTCCATAATATCTGTCAGGTCTAACTGTCAGCAACAGCTCAGCTTAGCTAGAGGAATGTTTCAAGTCATATTTGAATCTGCCTTGAAGATTGTACAACACTAGATAAGGTTGTATAAATGTTTAAGACAGCAAGTAAGCAGCTTTGAGGTTTGGTTTTTAAATTGTTCATCACTCTTGAGTCCTAACCCAAAAGAACTTTCAGAGAACAGGGTGTAACACCAGGGAACTAAAGTCAAGGCTGGTTTTGATATACATAATACTACTTTATTCCATTGTTTCAACTTTCTTACAGGTTTAAAAACCGTACAGGGGTTCAGAACCACCTCAATGGAACAAGAATACATAACTAAGGGAGACCTAGAGTCAAACCACAGAACTGTGCAAGCGTGGCCAACTTCCGTCACAAAAAGTAATAGGCACAATCTTTACATATGCATTTTGGTGAAAGAAGGAATAATAGTGCAGTGTTAAAAGGCACCAATAATCAGTAATTGGGCCTTTTTAAAAAGCCAATAACCACGTAAGAAAATTACATTTGGTTCAAAATAATAATTTAAATATTTTCTTGCTTGGCATGCATCTGAACCCCTGGCAACTTATTACACAAACACAATGTGTGCCCTTGCAAAATAAAAAAGATTTCGTAAGTGGACCTGAAAATCAGTTTAGTACAAAAGGAAACTCTGAAGCACTTTGCCTGTATTTAATACTAAACTGCCTTGTTCCCCCCCCTCCAAGAACACTTGTCTAACAAACAGCTATTCAAAAACTGCACAGAAGTATTTCTCTTAAAGCAAGTGTAGTTTTTAAATCCTGTAGCATTGACCTATTCCATGTGCTATGAAAACATTAGGCACAGACCACAAGTTACATTTTCTCTAAAAAAAATACAGTATGTGCAAGCTAGGTTCACACAATGGGTTGACAGCTACAACAGTAAGCTGTTTAGACTTCCCAAAGAAAAGGGCTAGTTAGTTTTAATTTTCTAAGCAGTGATGCACACTGCTGTGTGCAATTACCTTATTTGCATTCGGATTATCTGTGTAGCCAATAAAGGAAAAGCTTTAGTACACCCTAAAGGACACTACAGCAATATTGTGTGCTAATTTAACAGGATCAAGAGAATGAAAGATTGAAGAAGTCATTGTACATGGGCAGCTGTACTTAGCCAGCCAGCCAGGAAGGGCTGTTGCCTTCAGCA